TAATAGAAATTCAATAGACTAGCCAAATTATTATTAAATACACGACATACATGTTTATTAATATATAGAGCTCAATGAAAATAATAAACTTTTTAATGCTGTAAATGCATGTTTAATGCATATAAAGATAAATATGTCGCCTAGTGACATTTCTATAGCAATCGCTTAAGCCATTTCCATTATTCGGGCAAGGCAGCCAATTTAATTGATTAAAGGTTTCCATGATCAATATAGAGAGAAATATTTTTTTGATCGACAACTTGTAAAAGCGGAAACTTGTGGTATTTACATCAATTATCGCAACTATAATTTCAACGTTTTTATTAAATATAATATTTCACTTTTTAACTCTTGATAGTGATGAACCTTTATTGACATACTGTCCATTCTAAATTTTATATATAAAATTACAGTTAGCCGACAAAAATCAAATGAAACTTTTCCAATTTAAGTTTCAGGTAGGTTTTTTCTACGACTTATCAATTTGAGATTTGAATTCGTTGAATTCTCTTCTATACATACCATAAATACAATACACAAATAAGTATGTATTACATTTTCGGCTTGCTTGCTGGAGTGTGAAGGTTATGCACATCTTTGTTAGTTAAAATAACTTCTTATAATCATTTTTATAGACTCTAATCGGGTCAATAATAATGAAAACGAGGACGACGCGTTTTTGGGTCTGACTTCTTGATGTGAAAATATTAATATACGAATTTATAAAATTGGCAGTTCTCTCTCTCTCTCTACTGTTAATTGTAAAGGTTTTTTAAAACCTGGAGATATTTTTAGAATTTTTAAGGAAAATTAATGCACTCTTAGTAAATTTTAATATGTATTGGTGAAAACATTTGTATTAGATATCATCGGTACGTCAAAAGTTAAAGGGTAGCAAACCGAACCCATGATTCCAGCTGTTTAAATTAGCAATGCTTTCAGTAATACCTTGGGCTAATATACATATCTTCTACGACATAATCATATACATTAGGTTGAAGCGAAAAAAAAAATTATTTTTACCTTAGCCTCAGGGTAAAATTTGTAGATTATAAAAGAAGAAAATTTTTGGACAAAAAAAATTTTTTTATTAACATCTAGAGGCGGCGCACTTAGTTTTAAAGTAAATTGCAAGTTAAATTTTTTGGACAAGAAAAAATAATTTTTGGTTTAAACTCTTTATATTTATCTAAAAATTACAAAATGTGACGGCTTTTGACTAAAAATTTATTTTAACGCTTAAAAAAAGCTTTGTAGTTTAAGACTGTTTTTTAAAACTCCAATACTGACTACAAACTTTTTTTTTTTTTAATTGATAACTTTTAATTGACTTGAAAGAGGACTCTCCACAGCTTCTAGAACACTTATCAGAAATTTTTTACGAAATAAGAATTTTAACTCGAAAATAATGTTTTATTGTCCAAAAATGGGTTTTTAATATATATTTGAGTTGTTTACAATAACAAGGCTTGCACATAATATGTAATACAAAACTGGGCAGAATTCAAGCAAGCGACCGTACTACTTTAATTCACGTACTTTATTCCATCGAGTTGAACTGACCAACTTTGTTGTTGCTTTCACATGCAATTTGTTTAACAAGATCGCAGCGTTCAAAGATAGCGAGTAAAAATGCCAAATCGAAGACGGCTAATATTTGTAAAGGTGCCTGCAAAGTGGACGCTGAAAGCCGAGCCGAGCGTAAGGTTGACGAATGAGAGAAAAAACATAAAAACAGACTACGTACATATGCATACGAAATACTTTCCAGTATACAAATCAAGCACTAATTAATATATCGGGATAAAAATTTGCGAATATTTCCTTTAACATATCATACCAATCTGTGAGATATATTATTGCAATTCGGGGAAAATATTTTTTTGATAATAATATACCCTTGTGCCAAAAATGAGTTGAATGTGGTCAATACTTCTCTTAGCCCCCATATACATAGTATAAATATTTCCGACTTACAGTTGAATTTATACCACATATATCGACCATGTGCTAGTTTTTTTTATGAAATTGAGAAGTCGTGTTTTTTTAATGTTAAAATAGATAAAATCGGAAGAAAGCTTGTCTTTGCCTCCATATAACTGATATTCTAGATTTTGAAACGTCCGGCTCTATATATTGTACATATATGTTTTTAGTATATTTATATAAATATTAGTGAAATGGCTTGAAAATAATTTCTCAAGTATACCTGAGCAATGTTAAAAATTAATGCAATCAACCCTTCCAGTAAATAAAATACAGTAATGAAACTAAATGAATCTATGACCCTCAAAATAAGTTTATATGATTCCAAATGATGATTGTAATCCATTCACGATTTCGTCGATCAATGAAGTTGAACCTTGTCGCGACATTTTTATACTCTCGCAACCTGTTGCTACAGAGTATAATAGTTGTTTTCACGTAACGGTTGTTTGTATCACCTAAAAGTAATCGAGTTAGATATAGGGTTATGTATATATAAATGATCAGGATGAAGAGACGAGTTTAAATCCGGATGACTGTCTGTCCGTCCGCCCTAGGTTTAATGTACATATCTCCTAAACTGCTAAAGCTATAATAACAAAATTCACTGGAAGCAAATGTTTATAGAACCTCTACCTACAGTGTGAAAATAGTTGAAATCGGGTGGCAACTCCGCCCACTCCCCATATAACGGTACTGTTAAAAACTACTAAAAGCGCGATAAATCAAGCACGAAACACGCCAGAGACATTAAATTTTATCTCTGGGATGGTATAAGATAACTTAATAGGAACCGCGTTCAAAATTAGACAGTGGGCGTGGTACCGCCCACTTTTATGTGAAAACCCATATCT